GGGACTCGTGCACCCTGGAGCGCGCAGGTGCTTGGCTGAGACCCCTCTTGATGGAGGGGATGGATGGGTCACTGGGGGGTGTGATTCTGATACCTAAAAATTAAACACTGCTGGGTGCAGAGGTGCACTGCACGCCTGTCATCCCAGTGGCTCGGGAGGCTGAGGCAGGAGGATCACAAGTTGGAGGCCAGCCTCAGCAACTTAGTGAGGTGCCAGACAACGCCGTGAGACCCTGTCTCAAAATAAAATACAAAAAAAAAAATAAATTTAAAAAGGCTGGGGATGTGGCTTCGTGGTTAAGCACCCCTGAGTTCAATCCCTGGAACCAAAATGAATTAAAGAGTAAAGACTAGGCAAGAAAATTTCAAAAAGACTAACGGGATGTGTTTAGTTCCATCAGATATTAAAAGAGTTAATCTGCGATAATTAAAAATCATGTAGTTTTATCTCCTTTCTCGATGAAATGACCCGTGAGGGCAGAGAAATCGTAGCAAAATCTTTGCCCCAGTGCAGTGGCTGAAGTCTGCTGCATTTCAAATCTGTAAAGGAGAAAATGGATTGTTCACTAAATGGTTTAGTGTGTATGAAATTATCCTATAAGGAGGGGAAAAAAATCACACTTGGTACATAGGAATCTCTTCTCTCCACTCAATATAAAGAGTGGGATCAAGAAAATAGCCTTTAAAGATTTAAAAGACTCAGAGTTAAGTAAGACATCTGCTAATCCATGTTGCAACCCAAGGGTGCTATCTTTAATATGTAAAGAGTTCCTACAAATCAATAAGAAAAGAAACGGATGGCGTACACAAATGAACAAAGGGATTATTCGGTTTCCAAGAACGGTGTGTACATTGCTTTTTTTTTTACACCCAACCTCCTTCCTAAGACACATGTGGAAATGTGAGCCAGTTGATTTGATCTTGTTTTCCACAGAAGCCCTGGTGGAACTTTCATTCGAAAGTTCTCGGATCTGCCAGGAAAGCATTTGAGGTATTGCAAATCTGCTGCGTGTCTGCGTAACGATTTGGCAATGGGCGTAGACAGGCTGCAGAACCCTTTTAGCCTCACAAAGGCTGTCCTTCATGACAACGTGCCCACTGAAACGGGGTCCCCGTCATGTACTTCCAGAGGCATTCGCGGTGGTAGGTGCTCAGTGGGACATTCTTGGCGACAGCTTAATGTCATTGCAACCAAAGTTCTGACTGTTGGAAAGAATGACAGGGACCGTCTCTCTGCTCACCAACAGCCTCTGGTATGTAGAAAAAGTTCTGTGCAGGGCACAGAGGAGCATCTGGATGCAGGGGGTATCTGGGTACAGGGGAGTACCTGGGTGCAGAAGGGCATCTGGGTACAGAGGAGTATCTGGATGCAAGGGAGTCTCAGGATGCAGGGGAGTATCTGGATGCTGGGGAGTATCTGGATAGAGTAGTATCTGGGTGCAGGGTAGTATCAGGGTACAGAGGAGTGTCTGAATGTGAGGGGTATCTGGATGTAGGGGAGTATCTGGATGCTGAGGAGTATCTGGGTGCAGGAGAGTATCTGAGTGCAGGGGAGTATCTGGATGGAGGGGAATATCTGGATACAGAGGAGCATCTGGGTTCAGGGAAGCATCTGGATGCAGAGGAGCATCTGGGTGCAGGGTAGTATCAGGGTACAGAGGAGTATCTGGATGTGGGGAGTATCTGGGTGCTGAGGAGTATCTAGGTGCAGGAGAGCATCTGGATGCAGTGGAGTATCTGGATGCAGAGATCATATGGGTGCAGGGGAGTATCTGCATGTAGGGGAATATCTGGGTGCAAGTGATTATCTGGGCTCAAGGAAGTATCTTGCTGCAGGGGAGCATCTGGGCATAGGCGAGCATCTGGGTACAGGGGATTATTGAGGTGCAGGGGAGTATCTGAATGCAGGGGAGTATCAGGATGCAGAGGAGCATCTGGGTGCAGGGGAGCAACTGGGTGCAGGGGAGCATTGGGGCATAAGTGAGTATCTGGGTGAAGGGGAGTATCTGGGTGCAGGGGAGCATCTGGGTGCAGGGGAGTACCTGGGTGCAGGGGAGCATCTGGGTGCAGGGGAGCATCTGGGTGCAGGGGAGCATCAGGACTGACGGGTCATAAATCCGAGCGGTGGTGGCAAAGACGGACAGAAAGGTTCAAATGCCGAGAGGCTGGGCCACGTGACAGCTCCCCCGCCCCTGAGGAAGGGGCTCCTAGGCCCCTCCCTGGGGAAGGGTGCCCGTGGGGGAGGGGCAGAGCCCTTACCCGTGGGGACCGGCCGTCCGCGCCCCCAAATGCAGGCGGTTCCTGAGCAAAGGCCTAGGACCCAGGAGGACGGCCCACCCACATCAGGGGACAGTGCGCTGTCCACGCGGGTGTCAGACGGGCCACCAGGGCTGTGGGCGGGGAGCTGCCCAGCGCGCAGCGGCTGCTGAGGCCCTGCCGGGGGGACAGCGAGGCCCTCCCCACGGGGCTGCCTTCTCTGGGCGGCCAGCCAGGGCTCTCGTTCACTGCCCCGGGCCGCTGGCCACCCCGGGCCGCTGGCCACCCCGAGTGGACAGGCTCGTGTTCTGGTGGAGAAGCCGGAAGCCGAGGCTGACCGGCTGCAGCTGGAGTCCACCGGAGCCCGTCCCTGGGGGCCTGGGCGTGGGCAGTGGCCCCAGGTGAGGAGCTGCTGTCCCCCACACCACGGGGGAAAGTCGGCTGTCACCGCAGGGAAGGGACCGTTTCCAGTGACCGCGGCTCCCCCAGGAGGACACTCCCGGCCACCACGGGAGGAGCTGCTCCCCCGCGTTCAACCAGACCCCAGTCCACGGGGCCCAACCCCTGGTCCAGGCTCCAGAAATGGTGAGCAAAAACCACGCACGTTCCACCCACAGGACACACGCCGCACGGGGGGGGGGGACATCTGGGGGCCGGGGAGTATCTGGACAGGAAAGGATCCCAGTGCGGAGGAGGGTCTGGATGCGGGGAGCACCTGGGAGCAGAGGAGTATCTGGGTGCAGAAGTGTCCCGGCGCACAAGGAGCATCTGCACCAAGGCAGAGCCTCTGTTTAGAGGAGCATCTGAAGGGAGGGGAGCACCTGGGTGCCAGGGCCGACCTACATTCAGAGAAGTAGCTGGGTGCTGGGGAGTATCTGTCTGCCTGGCCTGATGCGGGTGCAGGGAAGTATCTGGCTACAGGGAAGTATCTGGTTGCCTGGGAGTATCTGGCTGCAGGGGAGTATCTGAGTGCGGAGGAATATCTGGCTGCAGGGGAGTATCTGAGTGCGTGTGAGCGCACGGGAGTATCTGGCGTCTTGGGAGTATCTGCTGCGGAGCATGCGCGTCCAGGGAACTGTCTGCATCTGGGTGCAGGGGTGCATCCGCGCTCTGTAGAAGAGGAGGCCCCGCCCACGCCCCGCCCACGCCCCGCCCACAGGCCCCGCCCACAGCCCCCGCTGGAACCCACCGCGGCAAACCCCGGCCGCACAAAGCGCTTGGTTTCCAATTTTGTTTTATTAATTGGAAAAAAAAATCCTAAAAAATCAAAACAAAAGAAAACCGCTGGATATCGTAAGGCATCGGAGGGACGCGAGGACACTGGGGTCAGCCCCACTCGGGAGGCCTCAGGCGTCGCCTGGGTCCAGGTACTGGGCATGGGCCCAGGGCTTGCGCGTCCAGGCATCTGTCCGGGCTGGTGTCGGACCCCAGGTTCTGGGTCCTGGTGGGCCTTTCCCATCCCCGGGGGCCCCGGGGTCAAGGTGACACAAGTCCCCACGGGTTCGTCCCGCTGGTCACCGGGGGTGCTGGTCACCTCAGGTCTGGGACAGGGAGTCCTTCAGTGGAGACGGGGCGGCGGCTCCCCGAGCGCGCGGTGGCCTCCGCGCTCGACGGCTGGTCTTGCAAAGTGTCGCTGGGCAGGTGTCACTCAGCGACCGACCTGGGACTGGGCTCTTCCCGCCCAGCGGCCTCTACTTCTCCAAAAGCGTGCGCTGCACTGGGTGGACAGAGAACAGGGCGTCACTCCCAGTGCCCGGCGCACGCGGGGACACGCTTCCTAGAGGACCCAGGAGGCCCGGGCACCTCAATCCAACACACATAGTAAAAAGTCACTCCGTGAGCCCCACAGGTGACGGATGGGACCCCCAGGAAAGGGACACCAGGGGTGCTTGACCACTAAAGCCCTGTCCCCAGCCCTTTTTACTTTTTAATTTTGAGACGGGGTCTCGATGAGTTGCTTAGCACCTGAGTGGCTGAGGCTGGCCTCCAACTTGCCGTCCTCCTGCCTCAGCCTCCCGAGAGGCTAGGATTACAGGGGTGCACCCCCGCGACACCCAGCCAAGTTCTCCTTCTTAGACTTGGAAGCCGGCCTCCCTACCCGCCCTTCCTTACCTGGTGGCTCTGCGTTGGTGCCCGCTCGGTTCTCCAAGTCCACTTCTCCTTGTCCCGCTGCAAAGAATCAAACAAACACACGCACAGCTCAGTGGAGCAGGGAACGCACTGCTCAAGATGCACAAATCACAGCCGGGGGTGGGGGTGCGGGGGGACGGGGTGGATGGCAGGGTCTGCTGCACCCCCCGGCTTCGTTTCTCAGTCCTAAGAACCTGCAGGAATGAGTGGTGGGCACGGAACCCCCACTTCAAGGCTCAGAAGCGACCGCTGGGCTTGGAACTCTAGCAGCCTGCAGAAGGGGGACTTTTCGTCCCTGCTAGTACCCCAAGGGCCGTCCTTGGGCTAAAAGCTGCCCCTGCCCCTGTACCCACCTGCCCCAGAATGCAAACCACCAAAACCAGCTCCGGTACCGGACACGGTGGCCACCGCCTGTCATCCCAGCAGCTCGGGAGGCTGAGGCAGGAGGATGGTCCATTGGAGGCCAGCCTCAACATCTTAGCTTAGAGCTAACCTAAGCCCTAAGGGGCTGGGGACGGGGCTCGATCCCATGGAATTTCAAAGTCACCCGCGCGCCCCATGTCACCCCCTACCCCCTCGCCCTTCTCTTCCAACGCGCATCTAAAAGCCAACAGAGCTCCAAGTCCACACGAGGGTCACGGATTAAATGCGTTTATTTGTTCTCTGCACCGTCACCAAAGGACACGTTTACACGCCACACGGAGGGGGCTCACCCCCCCCATGTCACCCCACCCGAGCCGTCCGTGTCCCCTGATCACAGAATCTGAACGCACGGCGCGCCCTGCCGTGGTTCAAATACTGTCGTGCCTCAAGGTGTGCGGTGCGGGTTGCAATCACGGCGACAGAAAGATGGACGCCCTAAAGGGACCCTAAGATCTGCAAACTGCACCCCCACCCAGCCTCTAAGTGACACCCACAGTGAAGAAGCCAACGTGCTTGAGACCACAGAGCGAGTGAGCCCAAGGTGTACGCAAGGCGCGCGCTTGAGGGAGGTGCGCAGGTGGTGACCAGAGAGGTTGCTTGCGCTGCGGACAGGGGACCCAGCGGGTTGGCCCTTAACTACTGCGAACTGCGAAAGCCTGGGAGCCCAGGTCAGCATGCCACCAAGTACCAGCGTCTGGTCACTCCGCGGTACTGACAAGTGGCGTTTGCGGGGACTTGAGCCTGTGCGCCTGCGCGCCTGCGCGGACTGGCTTGGGGGATCCGAACTGAGGATGCTTTGGACACATGTGTCCTTCCAAAGAGCAGAAGGGCCATCCAGGCGGCCACCCTGGGGCGGTGACCAGAACCACAGTCGGTCTGTCCACCACCTGCGGTGCCCTTTTTGGATAACGCAGGACAGGACTCTGGGGAGCGGTGTCTGCAGACCCAGCGCGGAAGGAATCCTGGGCCGAGAAGTTCCCCTGCGCTGAGTGGCACTGAGTGGCACTGAGTGGCGAGGTCCCCAGGAGCAGGGGGACCCCGCCCCAGGGCTCTCCCTGCACAGTAGAGCGGCGGAGGGGTCCTCGCCCTGCTGACCCGCTGCAGAGGACCCTCGGGGGCAGGGCGACACGGCGCGCCCCATTCTCTCTGTGGCGTTCCAAAGGGACACCATCCCTTCCCGTCCCTCCCCGCGCACTGGGTGCGCGCCGTGTGGCCCGAGCTCCGTGCACCGAGAAGGCCCAGAAATGGAGAATTTAAGGTACAGAAATCTGCGGAGGGGACCCCGCGGGGAGGAGAGAGGCGCGCTAGCTGGGGAGGGGACCCGGGCGCACAGAGGGGGAGGCGGCTCGCTAGGCCAGGCTGCGTCCTAGGAGCGGCACAAGGGTCCTCAGGGCGCTCTGGACTGGACAGGGTGCTCTGCTCCTCCCTAGGTCTTGGAGGCATCTGAAATGGGGGGGGGACCAAAAAGAAAGAAAAAAATAATAATGATAAAAAAAAAAAAAAGGAGACGTTTAAGAGGTCAGCAGTGGGCAAGAGCCGGGTGGACAGAGCGCAGCCAGGTGGCGTTAGAGGACCAGGCAGGAGGCAGGAGAGTGAGCGCAGCCCTGCTCCGCGCAGCGTCCAGCTGTCCATCAGGGACACAGGCCCAGCCCGAAGCGCCTCCCTGAGCATGGATTAGGCTCCGCGTGGTTGTGCGCCCCCCATGCGGACCTCGAAGCTGACCCGGTGCCAGGGGACAAGCAGCAGAGACAGACCCTGCAAGCGTCAGGCAGGTGGCCGGGTGACTTCACAGTGAGCCTCCCCTCCTCCCTTCCGTGGTGGACTCGGTTTGCCCCAACCCCCTTCCCGGCCACCCCAGGTCATTTCTCTACCTCTTTCTGTCCCTAAAACCACGGCTACCTGAGTCACGCCTTGCCAGCTCACTTGAAAATTCAGGGGCGAAAACGGAAACGTGCACGACCCAGAAAAAGGTGGAGGCTCCTGAGGGAGGCCCGAGGCGTCCCCAGAAACCGAAGGTCACGTTCTCCCCGCGTCGCCACGGGGCTCCCTGGCTAGGGCGCATCCTTCCTGAGCAAGCCACCTGCGTCCCCCCCTCCCGCTGCACGTCAGACCCCGACTTGGGAAAATGGAGCTAAAAGGGAAATTGTAAAATCCACGTGGGCGGAGCTCCCGGCTGGTGGAGGTCCCCGCCACTTTGGGGAGACCCAGGCCGGGCGAGGGTTTGGGTTCTCCCTGGGATCCTAGATCCTTGGCGGCATCTCCTTGATCGTGGGCATTTGTCTGCCCTGTTTCCCGACTTGGAGCAAATCCCGGCCTCACTCAGGGACTTTTAAAGCACCAGGTCCCAACCCCCATGACGGACCATGGAGTCCCCAAGACCTGGGTCCCCAAGGCGCCTAGAGTCCCGATTCTCCATCCAATTTTGCACCCCATCCAAGAGCCTCACTGGTGAGTTGGTTTCACCAAATCGGGCGGGAGGGACTCTCCATGTGGAGGGTCGGATGCCTCTGGGTGCAGAAAGCAAGATGGCGGCGCCGGAGCAGTTAGCAACCTGTGCACATGTGCCATGTCGGGGCAGCAGGGCCTGATGGCAGACCCAGGGAGACCCAGCCTGGCACCCGCGCGGTGAGCCTGCAAGAGCGCTGCTGCGTGTGCTTTTGCGAGGAGGCCCGGGGCGCGGCCAGGAGGGCACCTACCGTTTTCTTTGAAGCACAGCTTCTTCTTCTGGTAGGCGATGAAGCTGGAGATGGCGCCGGCCACGGCCACCACTACGGCTCCCACGATGCCGGGGACCACGCCCTCGGAGTTACCTGCACAGAGGAAGAAACAGACGTCACCGTCACGGAGAGGGACACGCGGATGGCAGTGGAAGCCCAGGACAGCCGCCCGAGGAGATCCATCTAAACACGGCGAAGAGGACGGGCCCAGGAAGCTCGGGAGGCTGAGGCAGGAGGATCATGAGTTCCAAGCCAGCCTCCGCCAAAGGGAGGCCGTAAGCAGCTCAGGGAGACCCTGTCTCTCAATAAAATGAAAAATAGGGCTGGGGACCGGGCTCAGGGGTGGAGGGACCCTGAGGCTCAATCCCGGGTACCAAACCCACCCCAAAAATCCGTCACTTAGTTCCTAAAATTGCAAAGTGGCCACGCAGCCGAGCGGCCGGCCGAGCTGTGGCCCGTGATTGACACGGAGGGACGGGGCTCTAACCAGGTCTTCAGGGCGATTGATCGGGCAAACACTACGACTTCAAGCAGCGTGTCCCCGGCGTCCCTTGTCCCCAGAGGAGAGGGGAAGGGAGAGGGCGGCCGTTCAAGGTACATACTGTCTTGTCCCTCGTTCCTGGGATTGCCGCCGTCAGAGCCACCGCCGTGTCCTGCAAGAGAAGAGTGTTGACCGAGGGCAGCCCGCTCCCGTCTCCGCCGCACCTGGAAGGTCCCCCGGAGGTCCCCTGTGTCAACGGCTCGGTCCCCATGTGGGGCTCGGAGACGGAGGACGAGCCTGCAGGGGCGTCTTTCCGCGCGTTCGAGAGTGACCTGGCAGAGAAGCTCGGGGACACTCTGCAGGGCCGGTGGCCGCGGGGGGGTGGCGGCAGAAAGGACAGCTCACCTTCACCTCCCGAAGTCCCGTCTAGGAGGTCACTGTCGGAAAAGCCACCTGGGGAGAGAGGGGGAGAGTCAGCGGGTCCTGGGGGTGGAGGGGGCCGTCCCGGTGCGGAGGCAGGAGGACGGCCAGTTGGAGGCCAGCCTCCGCCAGTCTCCAAAGGAAACAGAAAAAGGCCTGAAAACTGCCGATCCCGGCCCAAAGCGTCCTTTGGGGCAAGGACGGTCCCCACGACCCTCAGTCCAGCCACACCCCATGACCCCAAGTCCAGCCGAGGGACAGGGGGGACTCACCAGAGGAGCCGGGCTGGTTGGGCCTGGGCTTGGGCTCATTGGGCAACGCTGGGGCGTCTGGAACAGAGTTAGAGCAGCGAGAAGTGAAGGGAAGGGACCTTCGTCGGCTTCCCCCAGGGTCAGCCAGCCGCTGGACAGCACAGCTGGACCTCGCCCCGGAGGGGACACTCATCCCATGGCCACCTGGCAGTTGCCATCCACCCCCTGGTGACGATGCTACTCACTGAGCGCTTTCAACAGAGGGCAAAGGTCACGTGGGAGACCATGTGAGTGAAATGAGTGGGTTGTGAGAGGTGTAGACCAATAAGTGGATTAATCCACTTGGATGGACTCACTGAGTGTAGACCAATAAGTGGATTAATCCACTTGGATGGACTCACTGGGTGTAGACTAATAAGTGGATTAGTCCATTTGGTGTAGACCAATAAGTGGATTAATCCACTTGGATGGACTCACTGGGTGAAGACTAATAAGTGGATTAATCCACTTGGATGGACTCACTGGGTGAAGACCAATAAGTGGATTAATCCACTTGGATGGACTCACTGGGTGTAGACTAATAAGTGGATTAATCCACTTGGATGGACTCACTGGGTGTAGACT